GTATCATTAGCTCCTTGAAAAGCTTTTCGGGAATGGTTTACTTGCCTATTTCTGATCCTTATCATTAGTAGAGTGGGTTGAGCTGGTGACTCAGAGAAGACAGTGGAATCTGCAGCGGCAGCCACAGCAGCAGCGGCAGAAGCAATGAGAGGGCAGCTGGCATTTCAGGGAGCAGCCAGGGCAGAGATAACAGGGAGCAGCAGTTATGGAGATAAGGGCTGGGAGGAACTGAAAGCATGGAACTGAGGACCATAGTTTCTGGGAAAGTTCTAGGGAGCAGCCAACTCTATAAACCCAGGATTTCAGCTACTGCAGGCCTGGACCTGTCATTGATGTGGAGCACGTTACAACAGTAGCATTGCCACCTGCTGATACATGGGTTCTTTGCTGCTGCTTTTCAGGGCTGCTAGATGCTGAGGGTGACAACGCCTGCTGAGGCCAGTACAATAGGTCTCCAAATCCTAGAATAATAAATAATAAAGTTCTCAGGGCTCAGAACTCTAAGTCTCTGCCTCTGCCAGCCCAGTTCCTAGGCCTTAAGCACTGGAGAGTCTGAGGTTGCTAGCCTACTCATGATTCCTATCCAGGTAGAGAAGAAGAATAAGCCCAGGTAGCTCATTCGGAACACATCTGAGGGAAGAGAGGTGGGCAGGAGGTGACAGCCTAGGATGGGAGAGATGGACCGTGAACCTCAACAGCACAAAGCACACACGCAGACTATCCAAGGCCTCCTCCCTAAAATGGACACAGACCGAGATAAATAGAAAGCTTAACTATGAGCCATGTGTGGGAGGGGCAGGGCAAGTAGCACTGGAGGAGGTTAGAGAGGGCCAGCATCTGAGCTACAGCCTGAGCTCTCAGGAGACCTCCTCAGGACTGTGTACTTCAAGATGAACTGAATAACTTAGCCAACAAATATTGTTTAAAGTCCCATGAACCAGATTTCCACTTACTGTCCCTTGGAGCTCCTCAGGCTCATCCTGGCCACCAGATAGGCTCCCTGGTGTGGTGGTGACCCTGTGTATTCCAGGAAAATGTATTAAGGGCAGTCCTGAGCGATGAGGGTACATAGTTGCCTCTCCAAAGCTCCCCCACACCTTCCCTACCTATCTGCAAGGTGATTGCGGGAGAGAGGGTCCCTTGGCACCTCATGGGGCCTGGCACGGGCAGGTACTTCTTTCTGGAGTAGGTCCCACCTTGAGAGCCTTGTTTCCACATGCCCTTTGCTTCTCTGAGGATGGACAGTTCTCAGCAGTGTTTATGGCTGGCTGGCTAGTCACTTTAGACAGTCACTAACCTACATATACACTGAGGGGTTTGAATATATTATAATTTTCTGAGATGGGGGGGTCTCATGTTACTGGGAAGCTAGATTCAAGCTTGTTGTTATGGAGCTGAGGAAAACTTTGAACTTCTGATCCACCTGCATCCACTTCCTGGCATCTTAGTTAAGGTTTCTGTTGCTGCAATGGAACACCATGACCAAAAAGTAAGTTGGGGAGAAAAATATTTATTTGGCTCACATTTACCACACTGAAGTCCATCACTGAAGGAAGCCAGGAAAAGAACTCAAAGAGGGCAGGAACCTGGAGGCAAAAGCAGAGGCCATGGAGGGGTGCTCTTACTGGCTTGCTCCTCCTGGATTGCTCAGCCTGCTTTCTTATAAAACCCAGGACCACCAGCCCAAGGATGGCACCCTCCAAAATGGGCTGGGCCCTCCTCCATCAATCATTAAATGAGAAAATGCCTTTCAGGCTTGTGTACAGCCCTTTCTTATAGAGGCATTTTGCAACCAAGGCTCCTTTCTTTCTGATACAGCTATACTTTTCAGTGTTTGTTTTAAAAACCCTTTAATCCTCTACCTCCATTTAACTAACCCCCCAATCCAAGGTAGGAGAGAGAAGGTTAATGGGAGAGGGGTCATAGACCCCTTTAGTTCTCCTGGATGTTTAGGGTCAATGGGTCTTTGGGTGATATACCAATCTCCATCAACAGCAAATGCAGCCAGCAGTCTCCTCCAAGCCACTGCATGCCCAAAGAGTTTCTGTCTGTCTGCTCCAAATCGCCAGATGGTCGGTCTTTCTGGTCTCTCCAAACTGCTACTCACCACCAGCTAACACCTCAAGCCACACCTTCTCTTTCTGGGCTCTCAAATTTATATCCTCCTCCAGAGTCCTAGACCACGCCCCTCTCCAAGGTAAGCCGTCACCAGCTGACAAAAGCCACGCCCCACACCAGACAATTGACAGCTGTAGACAAACTATAGCCCAAATGAAATCCCACACTTGGGATTAAAACAAAATCGTATTTACATAACATAACTGAGGTTTTTAAAGAAACCAAAACTTCCATAACAATACTTTGTGTCAAACTGACAAAACTAGCCAGCGCACCTGGTTGTATGGGCACAAAACAGGTGAAGTCAACCTGTAGGAGCCAGTTCTCTCTTTTCACCAATGGGTCTCACTGAGTTCAGGTTGTCAGACTTAGTCAACAAGACTAAGGACCTGCCATCTCCTGAGCTATCTCCCCAATCCTAAGGCATACTTTTTAAAGGGGTAGGGAGCAAAAGAAAAATCTAAGCCAAATCAAACCCACAATCAGACAGACAGACAGAGCTGGGGCATCTTTCCAATTCTGCAGTATGGGAGGCCAGCCTGGCATGGAGCCCAGCTTCCTGTTAGACTCTTGTGGGGGGACGAGCAAGAGGGGTCTATGACCAGGCATGAGGTAGGGTGTAGGACACAGAGCCTGTCCCCAGGCTGAGTGTCCACCAAGCCAAGTCCTTTCACCCTTCCTAGGCAGGGCAGGGTGGCCCCTCCACATTGCTTTGACTATGGGTAACACTGCCTTCAGTGGCTGGGTCAGTACCTAGGAGCCCATTTGCTTCCGCTCAGCTCTGCTGTCCTCCACCAAACCGGGAGGTCAGCAAAAGCCAGCTCTGCATTTGAGGCCCCAACCATGTGGCTGCCTTACAACCCTAACAGAGAGCAGATTAAACCCTTGTCAGGCTCTGCCATGTGAAACAAGCACATGGTGTTTTGTGGCTATTCTCCATCCTCGGAAAAAAGAATCAAGACAAGGGATGGGGACACACACACACATACACACACACACACAAACACACACACACACATACACACACACTGCACAATGCCCCCGACTTGTGACTGTTAACAACTGTTCTCAAGAAAGTCATAGCAGGACCTTGTAAGTTCCCACCAAGATAAATTTAATACAGAGAAACAAACACAGGCCGCACTCACAGATTCTACCTGGAAACATGGAGCCTGGAGAGAGATCAGGGAGCATGCTCATGGCCTCCAGTGGACTATAGTGATTCTCAGACACACTACATTTCCTCACAGAAGTCAGAGGGGTTGGAAAAATCCCATCACCTTCTTGGAGCTACAGCAACCGGGGAGCCCATCCCAACCAAGAGCAGCCTGGATTATGAACAAGGGAAGGGTCAACATGAAGACAGCAGTGGGCGGGGCAGCAGGGAACCCCTGCCTACTGACATCCCTGGGCAGGCATGGGGGGAACAGGGGCTGCTGTGATGTAGATGGGAGCCTGGGTCACGTCCTGGACAAATCCTGGAATTCCTGGCTTATTTCTAGCCCTGTAAAGACATCAGAGGACAGGCTTTCCCCTAGAGCATACGGATCTAGGCAGTAGTAGCTGGAGGATGAGGAGATTTAGCCAGTGCCGTGAACTGGACAGAGCCAGGGCACCAGACAGAGGATTCAGCAACTGCTGGAGTTTGCTTAACTAGGAAAGAGCAGGGCAGGGGACACAGAGGCTGAGGTAAAGCTTTGCACAGCCACAGGCCTAGTAGGACAGAGAGTATGACTCATCCAGAAGAGCTCAGAGGCAGGAAATAGAACAATAGGAGAGCTGAGGCTCTGCCCAGTGAAAATGTAGCAGGAAGTCACAAAAGGAATGTGATGGGCAGAAGGTGGGTTCCCAGGAGGGTTCCAGACAATTCTCTCAAGTCTCGTTCTCTCAGAGCAAAACGCAGATTAGATATGGTCACAAGTCTGATCTGTGAACCGGAGAACAAGTCTGCATACACGAGAAAGGGGGGATGGCACAGTTGTTAGAGAAGGCACAAATCGGGATAGCCAGTTTTTGAAAAATTAAAAACAAGTACGATAGAAAAAAAAATTGTGGGTTGTGTGGCAAGTTTTCCCCCTGCACCAAAGTGGAACCTGTTGATATACAATGAAATGTTTATAATGATGCTTTAGAAAGTCAAAGGGAAAAACAGATGCATGCTGGGAATATAGATTTTGAAACTACGCTGTGTGACCTGTGGGCGGGGAAGGGGGACAGAGGGAAGATAAAACAAAACAAACAAACAAAAACACAGTTACCAAAACAGCTGAGCCCAGTCCTGCCCACTCTTCTCTTACTGCAGCACCTGCTAGGGAGGGAGGGCAGGAGAGAGAAGGGGAAAGGAAGAGAGGGAGGGTGGACCCAGGAAGTTGGCTAAATAGGAAGTTTCAGAGGTACCATCTTGCTCTCCCACTGGGGACATCCGTAACAGCTCTGCTTCCTCCTCAAGCCAGTCTCCAACTCTCCAAGATGGACATATAGGTACAGCTCCAATCCTCAGTGTTTTGGGGAAGACCACACGGCTACTGCCACACAGTGCTGAGCTCAGAGCGGTGCTCCCAGGCCCTGTATCATTACACCATTATGATGCCACGGGGATATTAAGAAAGATAACTCCAGGGGGCTGGAGAGAGGGCTCAGCTGTTCAGAGAACTGGCTGCTCTTCCAAAGAACCTAGGTTCAATTCCCAGCATCCACATGGCAGCTCAGTTCCTGAGGATCTGACACCCTCCCGCAGGCATACATGCAGGCAGAACACCAGTATACATAAAGTAAAAATTAAAAAGTCATTTAAAATAAATTAAAAATTAAAAGTCATTTTAAAAACAAGAAGAAATAATTAAATAATGAAAGAAAGATAACTCCAACAGCCAAGGGCTCTATGGGCTTTGCTGTCTAAGAGCCATTAGGACATTAGCCATTGAGAAGCACTCTCCAGGATGATCTTTTCCAGATCCCTCCACTTGCCTGCAAATTTCATGATGTCCTTGTTTTCAATGGCTGAGTAGTATTCCATTGTGTAGATGGACCACAGTTTCTTTGTGCATTCCGCAGTTGAGGGACATCTGGGTCGTTTCCAGTTTCTGGCTAGTACAAACAAAGCCTCTCTGAATATAGTTGAGCAAATGTCCTTATTGTGCGGTAGAACATCTTTTGGGTGTATGTCCAGGAGTGGTATAGCTGGGTCTTGAGACAGAGCTGTTCCAAAAAAAAAAAAAAAAAAGCGCCAGATTGATTTCCAAACTGGTTGTACAAGTTTGCACTCCCAGCAGCAATGGAGGAGGGTTCCCTTTTCTCCACAACCATGCCGGCATGTGCTGTTGCTTGAGTTTTTGATCTTAGCCATTCTAGAAGCACTCTCCAATCTCAAGGATGCCCAGAGCGAACTGCCTTAGAGTGGCATTTCTTCCTTTCTTTTTGAAACCAACCCATTAATTATGTTGTTAAAAGTAACCAATATGTGGGCCTAGACCCCAAGCCCTAAGAATGCTAGAGTTACAGTTCCAAAATGTGGTGCGGTCTGAACATCAGCGTCTCAGTCTAGAGTGTCCGGAAGGGAGCAAACCAGTGCAAAGTTCTCATTTCTCTATGCGCAGTGTTCCATAAATCTTACCCTTGGGGGAGCCTCCCTTATAGTATCAAGGTAGCTTTGGCATTTTCAAACTTCTCATCCGTTCTACAGGACCATCCAAGAAAGAGAAGGAACTTCCAGCCACAAACCACAAAGCAGCCCTGCTGGTGGAAGTGGCTTGCCTTCTCCAGAACAGGACCTGGGAGGAGGATGGTCCATGTGGTTTCACATCGCCAGGGAAGACTCTCCAACTGTGGAGGATGATCTGCCCTGGGGGGAGATGGACAGCCAGGTAAAAAGTGTGTGTGTGTGTGTGTGTGTGTGTGTGTGTGTGTGTGAGAGAGAGAGAGAGAGAGAGAGAGAGATAATGCCACTGAGGAAGACAGTTGGCCTATCAAACTCAGACTGCATACAGTCCACTGTAGGTTTCCAGTGAGCTGCTGCCAAACCCTCACCCAGCTTGCCGACGCCCTTACCTCCCTTACAATCCCCCTGGCAGTCTGTTCTGCATGTGCCAAATGACTGACTTTGACCTTTGACCCAGCTGCACAGCTTGCTCTGAGGGAAGTCTGATCTGCTCTCCTTGGAAGCAAAACAGCAGGGCCCTGAAAGGTGCCACTTTACACGGGAGGGACTGTGATGGCCAGCTGTTTACAACCTTATAAAAATACCCAAGTAGGGCCCAGAGGGCTCAAGAATGATAGCCGAGAAGGGATTTCCGTTACTGTCTACAGGGTACAGGAGGCTGGGCCCAGAGAGAATGCATTGCTTTCAAGGTCGCAGACAGGAGCCGGCTCTTACCCCAAGCAAACTGCATTAACGCAGACCTCTAAGCAATTCTGAGATGCCAGACTCACCTCCACTCCTTTCCAGTTGACGTGGGAGGAGGGTGTGCGCGCTGAGCAGGCTGAGACCGGAGTCTGAAGGCTCCCCTGGCAGGGCCAGGCTGCAGAGCAATCTGATTAGTGCACAGCTCGGAGCTGTGATCCGATTAGGCCCTCGGCCCCATCCTGGTTTCCCTGGATGGAGGTGGCTGGAGACAGGCAGATGGCGGATGGAAGAGGGGTCTGGCTTGATGCTGGAGATTAAAATGCTTCCCTGGGGAGCTGCCAGCATTCGCCTGGCCTTGGCAGCAGAGCTAACCTGGCAACTGGAGAGAGGTCCATTTGAAAAATTAAAGATATGTGGGAGATAGAAATATCTCTGGAAATTTCCATCAGTGTGCTGGTGGTGGGGGCCCAGCCTGGTCACCCCATTGGGTTTTGTTACAGGCTACCAACTTCCTGCCAAGCCATCTATTAGACACCTACCCTGGGTCTGCCAAGGGAATGAGTAACAGGCTGCATATTAAATGGAGTTTATTTTCAAATCCAAGACACATTCAAAGACAGGCATCAGCAGAGGCACACAACTTCCGACCTCTGCCCCGCTCTACCCGGCCTGTGGGCTGTGTAAGGCGAGCGGACAAAGGCTGACCATTCCAGTGGTGGGATTCTGTTACATGGACCTGGTGGGGTGCTGGGTTTGTAGAATTGGGGAGCTGGAGTGAGTTTCCACTTTGAAATCCAGAAAGAGGGGCTGGAGAGCTGGCTCAGCAGTTAAGAGCACTTGTTGCTCTTCCAGAGGACCTAGCTCAATTCCTAGGACCCACATGGTGGCTCCCAACTGCTTATAGCTCCAGTTACAGGGGATCTGACCTCCTCCTCCCCAACCCCTAATCTTTAACTTTTTAAAAAATCTTGTTTGCTTCGAGACACAGTTTCTCTGTGTAGCCTTGGCTGTCCTGGACTCGCTTTGTAGACCAGGCTGGCCTTGAACACACAGAAGATCCTCCTGCTTCTCCCTCCCAGAGTGCTGGGATTACAAGCATGTACCAGCACTCCCAGCTTCCATCTTTAACTTTTAAAGTAACTTTCATGCTGTGTTCTGTAGTGGGAGTGGCAAAGCCTGCTAAAACAAGTGGTCATTTGCTACTTTTCCTTGCACCAGTTAGTACGTTCTGTTTGTTTTTGTCCTTGACCACATTTTGTGTTTTGTGTGTGTGTGTGTGTGTGTGTGTGTGTGTGTGTGTGTAGCTGGGGTTGAATCCAGGCTTTCTGCATGCTAGGAAGGTGCTGTACCAATGGTGCCCCGCAGCCCTGCTCACTTTATTTTCCTTCTGACCACCGTAGAGGGTGTGTTGGGCTGCCTATCAGTGTTTCAATTTGCTTTCTTCCCCAATGAATAACGGCAACTTTTCATATGCTTCTTTGCCACCAGCAAAATCTTTCCTAATGTTTTCCCTATATGATTTTCTTCTTTGAAAATAAACCTCGTTTTCCTAACAGCTTTACATGTGCAGGGAGATCATGAAGCTGCCCCGGAGTCCCCAATGGTCTCACACCAGTCCCACCGTAAGCACCTCCTACTGGAAAGCACCCTTCTCCTCATTACCAAATCAGACCAAGACACTGCTTCCAAAATCCGTTCCTCAGTTTCCCTCTATTACCTTCTTCTGTGCCAAGATCCCATTCAGGAGCCTCATTGCAGGTGATCCACACCTTAGGGCCTTCTTGGCAGTGGTGGTTTCTCACACTAGAGTTGTTTCTGACGACCTTGGCCATACAGTGGCAGAATGTTCTGCACCAGCACTTGCTGGGATCCACTGGGGTTTTTTTTTTTGTTTGTTTGTTTGTTTGTTTTCTTCTTAGTCATCTGGGGTCCTGCTCATTGGGAAAAAGACCGTGCATGAGCGCAATTTTCATTGCACGTAAAGAAGCCCATAGCCAGCCCAACTCAGCACTGGGTTGTAGACCTGGCCCCTGCCGGAGGAGTTTCCAGGTACACACTCAGACTGGGGCTTGGCACTCACCACCAAGAGCAAGGTCTCATGAACCCTGTCTATGACCTTGGCACGGACTCTACTCTACGTGAATTACATGATATGGAAATACTTTGTGCTGCTCGTGTTACCCCAGCGCTGGACTCTGTGTCTCCTTAACAGCCTCCATGCCTTTCTATTGCCCGACAGTGTGGTGTTCACTTGCTGTTTCTGGGCTTCGGCCCCCTCTGGCACAGACACTCCAGGCTCGTCATATGCATGACTTGCTCAGCTCTGAGCATCAGTCAATCCTCCGTGGAATCATCAGTCATTTCTCCGTGGAACTGTGGCTCCTGTCATGGTCCTGTCACCAGGTCCTGGGGCACCAAAGACGCGGCTCAGCTGATAGAGTGCTTGCCTAGCATGCTCTGGGATCCATCCCCAGCACCTCATGAACTTGGAGTTGGCTGGGGAGGGGGGTGTACAGATGTAATTTCAGCACCTAGGAGGTAAGAGCAGGAAGAGAGGCAAGGGTGATTGAGAGGCACGGAAGCTGTTAAGGAAAAGACCAGAGGCCAGTGTAGAAATTTCATTGACTGAATGGGCTACAACAGACTCTGTCTCAAATAGGGGAGAGGGGAGAAAGGAAGGAAGGAAGGAAGGAAGGAAGGAAGGAAGGAAGGAAGGAAGGAGGAAGGAGGAAGGAAGGAAGGAAGGAGGAAGGAAGGAGGAAGGAAGAAGGAAGGAAGGAAGGAAGGAAGGAGGAAGGAAGAAGGAAGGAAGGAAGGAAGAAGGAAGGAAGGAAGGAAGGAAGAAGGAAGGAAGGAAGGAAGAAGGAAGGAAGGAAGAAGGAAGGAAGGAAGGAAGGAAGGAAGGAAGGAAGGAAGGAAGGAAGAAGGAAGGAAGGAAGGAAGGAAGGAAGGAAGGAAGGAAGGAAGAAGGAAGGAGGAAGGAAGGAAGGAAGAAGGAAGGAAGGAGAGGAGGAAGAGGGAGGGAGGAAGGGAGGAAGGAAGGAAGGAAGGAAGAAGGAAGGAAGGAAGAAGGAAGGAAGGAAGGAGGAAGGAAGGAAGGAAAACAAGAATCTAGATCTAAGCTCTGACTAGCTCACTGCACCAGCACAGATGCTCCTGGACCCCCCAGAGGACTGAAGGGAAGTATGTACACATGTGTCGTGGGTACATGTGAATGCTTCAGCACATACCTAGAATGTATCAGTAAGGCACCATGCCATTCTGATGTCCCCAGCTTCCTTCTGCTGAAGAGACCTCAGGGGACCCTTCTGGCTTCTTTTTGCCCATGCCACCCTTCGCTACCCCTCCAAGATGTCACCAACTATTTACCCAGTTGTTCAAACTATGGATGGCATCATGGGACATGCTGGCCACCCCGAGGGATGACTTTACCATCAAAACACCCAAGACCCTTCTTCTCCTGAGCCTGCAAAAGTTAGTCATCCCTGGGAGGCCAGCCCCTGTCTGTCCCATGTCAGCATGCTCTATGAATGAGGAACACAGGTGAATGTGACAAGACATTTGCTCTACTCTGGGCTCCTCCTTTCTGAGGAGGCTAAGTGATGGTGAGGAGGGGCCAGGACTTCATGCACCTATGCAAGGACTCTTTTCAAAGTCGTAGCAACATTCAGACAGGAGCAAATTTTTCTCCTACCTGGGGAAAAACCCAGAGTAGTCTGCTCTACCAATGATGCTTTCCTTTCTGGCTTCATCAGGGCTGGAGGACGGTCCCCTCTTCCTCTCTGTGGTTTCTTTGGCCTTGGGTTCTTCTCTGATACACATTCACCTACCTAGATCAGGGGTAAGGGGGGGCAGGTATTCAGATCTTGGTGGACCTCTTTTTATCTCTGACCTCTACCTATGACTTCAGCCATCTTTGCCTCTTAGGCTTTTAACAATATGTCCCCAGTTGTAGGACACTAGTCCCCCCCCCCCCCAGAGAGCTCAGGCCTTCCTGTCCTGGTTTGTCCTGGTCTATTTCTATTCCCCACTACCACCACCAGGAAGGGCAATGCCTGGCATCCAGATCCCCACCACCGAAAGTTCCAAGTGCCCCCACCAGACTTCATTTATTTGAGGTAGGAGGAATTCAGGCTCAGGTTCCATAGTTACTCTTCAGCTGGTGTAGAGAATCTTGGGGCCTTCTAAAACTCCCAAAGACCATCCTCTAGTAGTTACCAGGACTTTCCTCTGAAGCATGTATGATCTGTGTGGTCATTGTCATGTGTGATCTAGGCGCAGGCTTGGTCCTCAGAACATTCCTTGCAGAATTGAGGGAGTCTTGCTGGATTCAGGGCATGCGTTTGCAGGCACATCTTCCACTGCCTTTCCTCAGCTCTGATGTAGTGTCCCACTGGTTCTGGAAACTGCCCTTGCAGGTGCAAGCCTGCGAAAGGAGACTGTGATGTCATTTTCACACACAAGGACAGACGCACAGGCCTGCTCTAACCGGAATCTGATTTCCTCCTACATAACGCCATGGAAAAAGGGCTAAGGTCACAGTCTGCTCCTCCTCGTTCCTTTAGTCTTGGTTGTCTGAGGTCATTTACCCATAGCTGTGAGTCATTCAGGCCTTGACTTGCACTGTTGCGTCTAGATAGTGTCTTCTATACATGTACAGCAATGGACAAGCGTGGCAGTCGTGAGATGGGGAGGGGATTGAGTTCAGCCGCTTCCTGTCTTTTACTCTTTCTTCTCCTGATTCCAAGAGTGGCTGAGAGTCAGAGACATCCCAAAGCTCGGGAGATCTCTGTCTGTCCACCATGGGCAGAGCTCTGACCTGCAGTAAAAGTAGCCAGGCCTCAGAGCAGCTGACCCAATGCTTTGGTGGTCCCACCCACTTCCAGAGCTTGCCCAGATCCTTGCCTCCCTTCTTTCCCATTATCCCAATGCTGAGCTCATTCCCACTTGGTGGGCTAAGGCCATGGACCGCTGGATGGGTGCCTACCCCGAAGCTGGGGGGCATGGGCTGTGGGATGATGGGGTTAAAATATATTTCTGCCTTGCCCTGGGCCATGGTGGCAGCGAACTCTGTGTCTAGCAATTTACCTTATAAATATCCTGGCGTGCGAGTGAAACCATGAATATTCAGGTGATTCGTTCTTCGCTGCTGTTAAAAAAAGAGCATGGAAGTGCTTTGTGTGCAAGAGTGGAACCATCTGCAAGATGTTAAGCGGAAGTGCACAGCCGTGCTGGCTGGCTGTCCACTGGGTGTGTGGAGAAGGAGGAGAAGTTTCACTGGCCAGACTGTCTGGTTGCCTGTACGTGGGCTCCTCCACCTGAAAGCTTCTAGCTGGAAGCTCTACCTAGGACTTCCACCCCACACAGGCCACACGCTCCTCTGAATGGGGGCTGTAGATGGGAAACCACCTCCAGACTAGGCACAGGGTACGGGCTCTCGGAGACGTCTCACTGAGTACAGGTTTGTGCTTTAAAAAAAAAAAAATTCTTTGAATTATGCAAATAAAGTATCCATTTACTAAAACAAAGGCTTTAAAATTTACCTGGAAACAAGTCCAGCCATGATGGCTCATACTTATAATCCCAGCACATAGAAGGCTGAGGCAGGAGGATCATCATGCATTCACAGCCAATTGAGACTACATAGTAAGATCACCTCAAAAAAAAAAAAAAAAAAAAAAAGCCACTCTGAATAAAATCTTTCAAACTCTGGAAGCTGCTGCCCTTGTTTTCAGTGTGTGTGTGTGTGTGTGTGTGTGTGTGTGTGTGTGTGTGTGTGTGCTCACTCTTGCTGTTCACTAACCTGTGGACACATGGACACACACAAACACACTCCCATTGCTAGTCACCTGCTCCTAGAGGCTCACTGGAGAGTTGCTCTCCACACTGACCAATCGGAAGCCTGCTCACTTCCACTGGCGCCATGTAGGCTGTCTCCATCCACCTGTGGGACATGAATCTTGACTTGCAGGGAACGCTGCCAGGGGTTTCCTCACACCTGATCTATATGTTGCTACACGTCATCTCTAGGTATTTTTAACCTTTATTTGTCTTTCTATGTATGTGTTCTGTGTCTCCGTCAGCCATGGCATTTACCGCTGTCTTTTCATCGGTTCCCTCTCCTGTCCAGCAAAGTTCTGCTCTCTTTATGGGCACCACAGTCTACAGCCCTGTAGCCATCCAATACCCAACCTCACCTCAAGTAGGGGTACCACTGGCCCCCCATGTCTTCTCTGCTTCCCTCATGCTATTTCTCTTCCCTACCCAGACAAAGCACATACAGGCAGACAGATGGGTAGAGGCAGCCCCCTCAGGCCTAAGTACCCATGATGCTCCCTGGAGGCTGCAGGACCTCACTGTGCTACCCAAGGGCTCTCTGGGATAGCTGCCCCACCTGCTCTTTGGAAAGGCAGAGAGCGCAGGGTGAAAGAAAGCAGTACAGGCAGGCATACCTCCTCGCCCAAGGTCCACAAGAGGACAGGTGAGGGCTGCTAGAGGCAAGTGAAGCAAAGAGAGTCCACCCCCGGCCCCAGCACGACAGTCACCAGAACCTGGCTCTTCCGCCTGCCAGCCTCCTGAATGAGCCCTTGTAGATGTGCCTACCCCATCCCCCTGACACCCAGGTCTTCTCGCCTCCCCAGGGTTCTCAGTCCCCAACACCGTGAAAATGGAAGCAAGTCCTTCCTTCTTCCCTGGGGCAAAATCAGAAGAACCCAGTGACTGAACCCAGTCACAAGGTGTGCTCAGCGCTGGCATTCCCACCTGGGTATGCCTGTGAGATAGCAGAACCCACAGAGAGCCTGGCAGGGAACCCCACAGAGCCGCCTTCACCCAGGCCACCGTCACTGTCCCTGCGGCCCCCACTGCTACACCCCCAAAACTCCTGCACTTCCAGCAGCAGGAGGCGGGCCATCACTTGGTTTAGTCTGTGCAGCATTTCGAGAAGAATTCAATTAGTTTTAATTAGTACAAATTTAATCCATTTTCATTAGTTTTAACTAATTGTAAACTCTTAATTAGTAAAAAGTCAGGCTTTACACCCAAGAATCTCAGACCGGAGGCTCCTCTCTACAAGTTGGAAACGACATGGGCACGGCAGATGTTGGGCCATGGCAGTCAGGGCCTGGCTCCCTCACAAGGCCAATGCCCCTCGCTGGCTGCCTGCAATATGCCTGTCAGCTTGCATTCCTACTTGAAGATGCCTGTATGATGCTTGGATCGTGTGGACTGAGGCCTGTAGGCTTCTGCCTATGTGATGGAGCCCTATCAACTCTCTACTCTTTGCATAGAATCCTTGGAGTCTGAAGGGCTGCTCCTCCTGGCTCCCCAAGTCCCCCAGTCCTGCTTCCCAGCTCTATATACACCTGTATATCCATCAGTGCCTGTATGTTTTGGGGGCTTTTACCATGACCTATGACCTTTGAAGGTTGTTCTTGGGCCCCTGCCCACAGAAGAGATGAAATTCAGAGAGCTCCCCAAAACCTCCATCACTCCTTCATCTCATCTACTCCCCTCTAACTCCCACAAAATATCTGGGAGCTGGATGCTGAGGCAGTGTGAAAGGACTGACCCTGCCTGGCCTCCCCATTTGCTAGTCCCCTTCCATATCCTTCCTTTCCCCACCTGTCTTGGTCCTGGGGGTTCTGAGGACAGAGAATACAGTGACTGGACATGGTGAGGAAAACCTCCAGGTCTAGAGTCAGTGTCCTGGACCGAGGAGGGTCTCCTTGCCTTCAGTGTCCCTCTCAGGAACCCAGATTAGCCCAAGGCTTCCTAGGGTATGGGGTAGTAAAAGCCTTGAGGACACTGGGCAGGCAGGTAGGCAGGCCATCTTCATACAATGCCAATGGAGGATGTTGGCCTGCGTGATGTCCCTTCACTAAGCACCATCACTCACCTCTGTGACCATTGATTCCTAGCTCTGTCTACAAGAGCTGTGAACCTCTCCCCCCACCAGCTGCGGTTGTACCTCAGGCTGGCATTAGGGGACCTCCAATAGAGGGGACACTTAGAGGCACTCAGAACACATGGCAAAGCAGAAAGGACAGACTACCCTACCCAACAGGAATGGGTATGCTTAGGCACGTATCATCTACCTCAGATCATAGCCCGGCCTAAACAGGAAGCACGTGACTACATACCCCAAGGCTCCTAGGGGTAAGGCTGGAGCTGAGGCAACCTGCCACCCTAAGCCCACTGTAGCAGACGCCCCAGGCTGAGGCAATTCCAAGCCTTGGCGGCCCCCACCCACCCCAAGCTGAGGTGGTAGGCCCTGCCAAGCCGTTCTGATGCCTCCCGTGCTGTGGTGACCCACTGCACCCCCTCCTCAAATGCGGCAACCTGGAATCCTAACGGCCCGGCCCGCTGCATCCTCCAAGAGCTATGTTTAGACGCCAATGTCAGGCATAGTAGCAAGTAGTTCCCGGCCAGCCTCAGGGCAGGCAGCCCCTCCTTCTCCCCTCCCCGAGGCTCTGGAGGCTGGAGACAAACGAGGCAACTCCTCAGCAAGGCCTCAGTGGGAGCTGTCCATGGTGACTCCTCCTGCCTCAGCCTACCGGAACCTGACAACTTTCCTGCTTCAGAATGCCTACTGCCGCCTTCATGAGAGCTGTCTGTGATAACAGCGACCTTTCCTGCTTCGGTCTACTGCCCTCACAGTGAACTCTTTGACCATTTTGGACACTTTGTATACTTTATAACCCCTCCAGTCAAAAAAGCGGCCAGACCTCTGCCTGAGGAAGCTCCTGCAGCCCCGGCTGCCCACCATCCCCATCACCTCTGTACCTCTCATTTCCTGCCCCTCCTTAGCACTCATGCCACATTATGCAAATTAGAGGGGAAAAGACTGGACAGAAACCCACCAATCCCTGAGCAAGAAAACTGACCAATCCCTGAACAGGAAAGCCCACCAATCCCTGAGCATCTCACAGCTCAGAACTTGAAATCCCACCAATCCACATTCTGGAAATTCCTGTCCAGAAAGCTCCGCCCCCTAAGAATTCCTATAGAGGGGCTGTGTTTGCCCCAGTTCCTTGCAGCCTTTTGCCCAGAGCAGAGACAGCCTCTCCTGAAATTGTCTCTTCAATAAATTTCTTTTAAGAGGTTTACTACCAGCTGTGACTCACTCCTTGGAGGAAGAAGAAGAGAAGAAATGAAGGATCGGAGCTCAGGCTCCTGGGCTCCTCAGGATTAGGGCAACCCTCTCTTGGGAACTGAGGAGGCCTCCTCTCAGAGTTGTGAGGTCCCTGACCTCCCAAGTCTCAGGATACCCTTGGGACCCTGTCCCACCTCAGAGCTGGGATACCTTCCCAGTCCTTGTAGCACATGACTCAGATTTGCAGCCCCAGAGCTGTGGGTTTTCCTGGATACCCTTCCATGTGTGTACCAGAAGGCTGGAACACCTTCC